GTCAGCTGTCTTAACCGTGGCTTGTGTACTGCAAACACATACCAGCTTCATCACTGTGTCTGTCACGAGACTCTGTTCCCCTTTCGGGCTTGAACTGATGGTAAAACTAATGACATTATTTACTGTCTTTACATTTATTTTGAAAGATGAAGCTCGCGATTATGGTAAGGGGCGTTACATTTCTGACAAGTTGCTTACGGTGCTCGGCCAATCACAATGCACCGGGTCAGCTGGCCAATCAGAGCAGACTGCGCTTGTCGGAAGGAGGGACTTTGTAGAAAACGAAGCGTTTGAGAGTGGCGGGGGACTACGGGGCCGCAATTAACTTAAGCCTTTGAAAAAAAATAATGTGTTTTCTGAACATTAAAGCATGTCAACACATTCTGTTACACCAAATACACAAAATAATGATCTTTAAAAAAGCATCATATGACCCCTTTAAGTATTTTTTGGGAGTATCTGTACTTTACTTGAGTTTTTATATTTCTGCCAACTTTTACTTCACTACATTTCCGAATTAAAATTTATACTTTTACTCTCATACATTTCCCCGAAGCATATTCGTTACTTACTACAAAATAGTCAGAAGTCAGAAGAACACGGACTGCAGGAATGCAGGTTTGACGAATCAGTGGTCTGGAGTTTGCAAGTTAGACTCATAAAAACACCTTTGCTCATGTGCAAACCAAACAAGTGCGCGCACAACCGCGGATTATTCATTTTCCACTCAAGTCGAGTCTGAGGTGTGCGATACACAGCATCGTCTGCGATAATATGGTAAGTGTTGTTGTAATGATGTGCAATCTGACATTATCAAGTAACTTCTAGGTTACTAGGTAATCTCCAAATCACACACAGAGTGCACGCACGTTGATTTATTAGTCTAACTCAAAATTCCAGGCATTCTAAATTGTAGACGGCAAAAATGCTTCTGTATGCTTTTTATATTCATATAATTTAATATAGTTAACTTAATCTATCACACAAAGAGTACCGTTTTCCTGCAGATATCAGCATGAACACATTTAACATTTTATACAAGTTCAGTAAAGCAATAAGTGACTTACATTTTATACATAATATTGCTTGTTTTTGCTCAATTTTGCTAACGAAAATATTTCCAAACAAAGATCACAGCACTGTTTTGCGTAATGGACGGTGTTTACTTATTGAATGAATCAGCTTTCGGTGTAATATGATTCAGTGATTCACTCATTAACACAGTCAAATGCTTTGTTTCTGAATGAATCAGTCGTTTGAATGAATCGGTTGAATCTCAATGACTCACTCATTAACAGTCACATGCTGTCACTTACTTTTTTTCATGTTTCAAATATCAGTATTCAACATTTTATGTTAAAGGGGTCATATGATGCTTTTTTAAAGATCATTATTTGGTGTAACAGAATATGTTGACATGCTTCCTATTTGGTTTTGAGACTTTAGTCTTTCCAACTTCAGGGATCTTATCTATGCACAATCAGCTTGTAACACTCCAAAGAGAAAGGAAAACTTGAAATCGCATCATATGACCCCTTTAAAAACAAAACATTAGGCCTATTTATGCATCTGTAACTGCAGGTTAAATGCATCCATGTCCCCTCTGAGATACATTAAACAGTAAACACATCTAAAAGATGCAGATTCCAGAAATGTTTTCTTATGTTGGAACAAAAGTTTGAACGAAAAGACGAAAAGAATGAAAGACAGTAAGTTACCGGATGAAGTGCTTCTTATTCTTACCCAAACATACAAAATGGAAGAAAGAGTTAAAACTGAACACAATTTTGCTACTCAAGCTGTGTATGAAAATTTTTTATATATATTTATTTGCTTCTTTTCCATTTTGCATTTACTTGTACTTTTACTTTCAATACTTAAGTACGTTTAAGATTTAAAAAATACTTTTCGTACTTAAGTACAATAAATATCACATACTTTAAGACTTTTACTCAAGTAATATTCTAAACGGTGACTTCAACTTCTACCAAAGTCATTTTCTGGTAAGATATCTGTACTTTTACTTGAGTATGGCTTTCAGGTGCTTTATACACCACTGCTTTTCAGCTGCGAAACTATTTTATTGATAAATAAAATAGGGGCAGCGCTGACAAGAAGTTTCTGTTCGCGTCTCCATGTGTGTGCGAGAGTCTGCACTGTGTGTGCATCTGTGAGAGAGACTGGGAGAAAGAAAGCGTGATTTCCGTAGCATACATAAAAAAGGTGGAATGACATGGAAATAGTTTGTCATTTTTTACCCTATTGTTTGTTATATTTATTTGCTCAATGTCTTCTGGGGTTTTGGTTCTTTTACTGTTGTAGATAGCCCATAGTATAACAAAAATATTATATATATCTTCATTGTGTTTGGGCCCCCCTGGACGAGTGAACATAGGCACGTGCCTAGAATGCCTATGCGTAAATCCGGCCCTGGTGCTACAGGGGTCGAGTTAGAGACTCCACACTTGCTATGGTTAATGTTGAGACTGTCCTCTATCCATGTGCCAGTTTTCATAACTTTCCCACAAGTGGTTCTATGGGCTGCCATAGACTCAAAATAGCAGCAGCAGCAGCAGCAGAAGAAAAATAAGAAGAAAACTAACAAATACAATAAATTATTTCTAAAAAGACACTTAGTGAACATTAGTCAAAAATGTATTAACATTCATTAAATTGGTACATGAATTTACATTGGATTGAAAAACAAAGTGTGAGGAATTTGCCTTCTCTTTTAAGAACCCCACTGCACGTTGGTGCATTATGTTGAAAAAAAAAATCACATATTTATCAATTTTCATAAATAAAAACATTTTATTAAAGTTATTAATACAATTAAAGTAAACACTAATTAAAAATTCAAGTTAACCCGTGATTCACACCATACAGTCCTGTAAATAACAGAAAACCTCTCTCACCTGAACCTCTTCTCCTCGCACTGACTGTTCTCCTAACAATGGCTCTGCTGGTGGAGCGTTGATAGTGACAGACTTCTCTGACCGACTGCTCTCCTTACTGCGGGATTTGTGGCGGTCCCGGCTACGCTCTCTGAGAAACATGGACACAACAGTGAAGTTAGGTATAGGTCCTTCAGATAGAGAGAAGTATGTCCAGATGATTAATTTGTCTTTTATTAAAGGAATAATTCATCCAAAAATGACATTGCACTGGTTTCTGCCACGGAAGTGAATTCTGTTATATATAGTGGACAGAATTTGGTGTAGACAAATTAATGTGGCCAAAGTGTAAATGGAACATGCTCACCCAATCAGAAAGCTCTCCCGTTTACCAAAAAACAAACAAACAAAAAAAAACATGAAGTGACCAAGTGTACAGTAAATGCACTCTTTTTCATGACGCACTGCCAAAGTGGTCAGTCTTTTATCTGTCACCCTGATAAATTCCTACTCCAACACTGATCTATCGCTTTGATCCATAAAATCATCCCTCCTCCCTCTAATTCACAAAGCATCTCCCCGGTCTCAGCCCATTATCCTGTCATAAGCCAGACTGCCCAGCCCCCAAACCTCATGTATGCTCAGACTAAACCACTGCGCTCTGGAAAAACACTAATCTTAAAGAACTTTTAGCTGTGCAGCCTTACCCACAGTCACCATATGCTGAAAGCAGACACAGGCAGTCATATTCTAATCCTTATGCTTTACACACACACACTCCTGCCTCGGCACATGTAAAACTACACAAAATGTAATCGTGACAGAATGACGAAAGCTGCTATCACCCATCCTTTGGATGAGACACTAAAACAATGTCCTGACTCTCTGTGGTCCCTAAAAATATCATGTTTTTTGAAAACACTGGGGGTCCAATCCCGCCATACAGCAGAAATTTGCTCATAGGCCTCTATGAATTATGGCCTTCTTATCATCCTTATACACATTAACTACATCGTTTTATGGATGCTGCACACTGGTGCTGGTAGGGCAGATTCCCCCATTCACATCAGTGATTTGATTTCTGCATTTGACAGTTAACGCTCATGTTTTCACCGTGTTAGTTATAATAATATGATAAGTATTCATGAGATTACAAACATTACACTGCAATAAGGAGATCATTGCATCATGTGCTCAGCAGACATGACTATGCTCGGCTACAGTGCAGTGCTGCAACCTTTGATGCAACAGGAGTACATTTCTACATCTAAAACAACATTTTGGCAGCTGTTAACAGTAAAAATGCAGTAAAAGCTTTCAAGAAAGTTCTAAATGTTATACTCATTTAATATGCAAAGATGTTAATCAATCATAGCAGGGGGAATATGCAATGAAGTCTCACAACAGATTTCCCTTCCAATTAAGCATTTAAATCAAAGGGCTAAAATTAGGGTAGAGAATGACATGTATATCTAAATTATGACCATTTTTTATGAAAAAGCATACTAAGATTATAAATGCATCTCATAAAACTATATATACAGTATATATATATAAAAAAAGCATTTCATGATCCCTTTAAATCAATGAATCACGATGTCAGCTTAACAATGTGGCGCAAAGTGTTTTTGCGAGAAGGGTATAACTGCAGCCTGGAGATCTCCAAATGGGGGTGGGAACTCCAAAACTGGGTGGGAGCTCCAAAATAGGGCGTGGCTTCCTCCCATTGACAGACAGGCACATGACACGCATGCGCAATGTTTTCCCCCTATCCACTTCAGTGCAAACTCCGCCCCACAACTGATTCTAAAGTTTTTATTGGTTTTGTCAATTAAAGTGTTGATTTCCTACACTATGCTACAAAAAATGCTAACCCCTAAACCTACCCCACACCTGACCCTAACCTTAACCAGTGAAATTGACAGCACAGCGGGATTGGTGCTGAATAGCGTGGTAAAGAAAGTTGCAGTTCAGGAGATAAACAGTTAATAAAATGATGCGATATAAGATTGTTCCATAACTCCCCAACCGGACCTCGTCGGACAATGGCACCTTTTTAGTTACCCAGCGTCACTACTCCCTCCTACCCTGCGAATTTCGTGCCCCGGGATGCCCCCATTGCTTGGAACAAAGCGATAGAGTAAAATCTTTCCCCTGTGCTGGGACGGCTCGCGGGAGAGCTTGTGGGTGATTCCCGTTTACATTATGAAGCAGAGGTTCAAACTCCAGTCCGAACACCACTGGCCACGAGCTTTGGGCTCTGCTCTCACGGAGAATATTTATTTATATAGCATATTTTATTTTAGATGAACTAGAAACAATGTTTAATTTATAAAGTTTTATTTTGAAATGCATGTCAATAACAATTGGCTGAAGCCACAGCCAATGGTGAAAGTCTTTGCGTGCGGAGGCCCCACCCCATTTTGGAGGTTCTGCCCACTTTTTGGAGTTCACGCCCCATTTTGGAGATCTCCAGTCTGCAGTTGAACCTACTTGGTTTTTGCTAGTTTCAGCCCGACACAGTTCTCATTTTCCTGTCCTGCACCGCGTTGTTTAAATAGCAAATGCATTTGCGCCCATTTGTGCGCCCATGGGCGTGCTGGTCTAAAAATGAGGTGTGTTCAGGCGCATTGTTGTCGCGTTGCTATTTTGAGGAACTGAAAATAGACTGCATCATAGACCAACTCAAACCTGGTCTAAAGTCTGGCGCAATATATTTTCTTTGTTATTTAAAGAGCGCGTTAGTAATATGCGCCTATAGGCGGGTGCACAACGCACGTACACTTTGCTTATTACACACACAGGGACGCACGCGCAGCAGCACACAAACATTTTTAAAAATGAAAAATTACATGCCGCCATGTAAATAACGAACCCGCCATGGCGCGAGCGCAAATGGCTTTTAAAGGGGATGGGGGATGAGACTCTGGTTTATTGCACGTTATGCCCAAAAAACACCCATTACTCCTTAAGAGAATAGGGACAACCCGTTTAGACCATGCGCCCCAGCGCGCCGACCATTTTCCCGTTGTTAAAGGCACAATATGTACGATTTTTTTATTAAAATATTCAAAAACTACTAGAACAGTGTTATATATTTTGCTGACTTGTGTACTTACATTATCCCAAATGTTTCGAAGAATGTTTAAATCCAGAGAAATAAGCAATTTTAACTAGTGGCACGGACCGTGCCCATAGTGTCATTGTGTCACCTGCCAATGACGTCATAACCCCTCGATTTCCGGTTTTGTTTTGTAGAAAACACGGAAACACCAAAGACGCTTTAATATGTTGTGCGTTTTAATAGACCGGTGATGACTGCACAGAGTAGCATTATAACAGAACTTTCAAACGTATCTAGTATGATAAAACAGCGCTGCTTTTTCCCCCACATACGCACGACCGGAAGGATAGGAAGCAGTCGACTGTGGCATAATAAAAGCTCCGCTGCTTTCGAGCCGTGTGTCACGCTCGTTCAGCGGCCTAGTTTTGCTTCGACGGCTTTCAGCCTAACCCTGCTTCATTCTACTACGTTAATAAATCATTAGCTCATCCATGAACATGATTTCTGCCCGAGTCCTGTCGGATTGCATCGGCTGTGGGAATAAGCTGTGACTCCCATAATTCCACACTCAGTCACGGCGTCATCAAACTATGCCTTTGTCTCTGTGTTTATTTTGAATATGCGCCCTCTTGCGGCGAAAATGACATATTGTGCCTTTAAACTAGCAAAAGTGGATTCAGACCCACACTGAGTGCACCTGTGCAGTGCGCTTTAGACCATGCGCTTAGATCGTTAAAATAGGGCCCCATGTGTCATTTTGTCAAATTAAGTGAACTTCAGATATGCCATGATCAGAAAGCAGGGAGCAGTGAACACTACATAGGGAAACTGTCAATCAGAAAGCAGCTATATAGTCACATAGGCTTGAAGCGTGAGGGTGATTAAATCATAAAAATTTTTTTTTTTTTAAATGAACTATTCCTTTAAATGGATATCAAACAGTTAATTTTTGTCTTAAAAAATAAATCATAGCGTGATGTCAACAACAGACTATGGAATACAACATTTGTCATATCCAAGTCAGTGTAAAATACTGTAGAGTTTAATTCTAAACAGCAATGCTCTCACTGAAAACAGGCTCAATCCTGTCAAAACAAGCACAGCATGTTAAACTCCTCCCATTCTCATCTGCTTCAATGTGTCCTGCCCATTTCCTGCTCTGCTTATTTAAGATGGGAACACGAAGCTAAACTAAAGGTGACAAACAGTTATCATCTTATTGTTTGCAAGTACTGAAATGGATGATGACATCACTGAATTCAATGATAAACTACCTTTAACTGAAAAATGAGTGTTTACTATTGTCACTTTGCATTATTGACACACTATTTTCCAAATTAATGCTGTACAGTTGCTTTGACACAATCTGTATTGTTAAAAGCGCTATATAAAGGTGACTTGACTTGACTACTGACCAGGTAATAACACAGCTATTATTGGTGACAAAAGAGAATCACACACACATAACAGGAAAGCTGTGGAAATGCACTCAAACATAAAGGTTGCAAATGGCAGAGTACACTCTTGCAACTAGTGTCTTTGGAAACCGGTCCTTATCCAAATTAACATGGGAAACTCTTATTGGGACCCTACAAGTCACAGTGTACTGCACATTAGGGCTTGAATTTTTTATTTAATTCTGTTCCCTGTATCACTCTCAGAGTGATGTACCATATAATTAGAAATAGCTTAGTCAAACAGCTCAATTTTCTACACGAGTAAGGCTTAATGTAAGATCTAGAGCTTTCTAGATCTCAAGGAATGGAATCCGGGCTGGAACAGAATGAGCCCAACCCAACCATAACCATCCACCCATTGTTTTGCTGACAGACCACATGGATTATCGTACTTCTTTTTCCCCCCAGAACTTTTAAAAAATATAATATTAAATAAATTGTAACATGCTGTGAGGTCTGATTTCTAGAAAACTGCCATACAAACAATAAATGAGTAAAATCCACCAAAGAAAATCCATCTAAAAAAAATCTAAAGGCAAAAATTATCTATAATAATTACACAACAGCTGATTAATTGGTTGGTAATGATTTAATGTAATCCTGCTTAGTCGAAACCTCCTTCCATCTGAAAACATTTCATGCAACAGTATGTGGAGCCAGTCAATAATACTTACTGTGTTGCACTGCACATGTGCAGTGTTTGTAACTGAACATGTATGTGTGTGCAGAATCTGACAGCATTTGACTGGGTTTGACAGTAAATTATGGCTTCTCCAGACGCTTGTGACCATAAATCAAAGCTTGGAAGGGTGACAAAGGTAAAACCAGGATAACCAGTTTCATGTTTCAAATGCAATGCACTTCTACTCTTACCTAACCTAGTATGGCCTATAGATTATCAGTGCACTTCATGATCTGCAGCATGCACTTCTACTCTGTTTACAGCTAAGCGCACTGAACTACAACTTAAAGCGCATTTAACCAGTGTATCATTGTTTGTGTGCACTGAAAAAAAAACAGCTTTTTTGACTGATATATAAAATGAATGAATGAATTAATTAAATAAATAACATATTTTACATCAGTTAGCATAAGCAACATTTAGACAGCAGGATCAAAACACTGTTTGGTAGTGAAGAACTGTCAGACTACTGAGCTTGCTTGTTTTGATAACTCATGCTTAGCAATGAGGAAGTCATTTGCGGCATAATCATTTCCTATGTGATTATCACAGAGACTTTTGGCTTGATTTTAGCAATATTTTGCCAAGTTAAATTAAAATTTGTTCCAAGATGTTCTTTGTGAAATTTAGTGTTACTAAAAGTTGTTATACCAACAACAGTGAAATTTCACGATTCTACAATTAAGATATTGCAGCTAAAACTAATTTACTGTTGAACACACCCATTTTAACTACTTAAAAAGTGAAATAATAATGCAAACTGATCATTATAAATGAATAAATTAAAACAATGGCATGTAGCCATTGTCAATAATACAAAGTAATACAGCAAACAGGACGCAACAGAACAAAGAGTTTTTCAGTACCTAATTATTGAGAACTTATTTAAATTATCCAGAGCAGTGTTTTTTTTTCTGTTTTTGATTGTTAATATTGTTTGATTATCATTATTATTAATGACATAATAGACAGCGGCAGGATTATTGGGCCACATTTACACAGCAAGGCCTGAAGCACAGACCTAAATATTTTTGACAAACATTTGACATGCATTTTTGACCCATGTGTTTACTTTCACCTAAGCCATAAATTAAGCGTTAGCGTTAGTTCTGGCAGGTCACGTGAGTCAAGCTTGCATCAGCTGATACTCAGCTGATCATATCTAGCTATAGGAATACGACACCTATCGCGGCATTCCTATATAAGCTCTATTCAGTATTATTCAGCAGCTTTTCAGCATGCTCAGGAGCAAATTACTCTCCTCCATCCCCAGCTCCTCCTTTCGCCACAGTCAGGACTTGGCTTTCTGATATTCCTTGCTAATCAGACTCCTTTATCTTGAATAAAGAGTTACACTTAAATATCATGTAGTACATTAATGATATCTGCCTTGTTCTATTCTGTTAACCCTAGGGGGGTTATTATTGCTGCTCTCCCTGCTCATTCATGACAGGCTGCATGGATGGGCAGGGAGTTTTTTGCCCAGAACAGAACCATACCGCCAAACCAAACTTTATGCTAAGTATCTATCATTTTGACGATAGTGGTCCTGACAGAACCAACTTTATTTGCATTCATACAAGGTGGGCATTTTGATAAAGTAGCTGATCTGTCAGACATATGCAGTTATGCACAGCCGTATACTGCAAAATGCACGTCTTCTTCACAGCATAAGCATTTGAAAGCAGCCGTCTGTCAGTCTGACAGTTAGTGGGCACCACATTGAGTCCTTACTCAGCAAAAAAATTTGTACTGCAGAAAGGCTGTTATCATTATATCTTTCTAATTTTAGCATATACTGACATTGTATAAGTACTTCACTAGTATGAGTAGTAGTGAAGTAATCGCTACATATGGGGTAAAAAAGACATAATTATGTATTGTGCCAAGAAGGTTGCACTGTCTGTTCGTTCACACAGGTACGAAACTGATTGGTAGCTGCCTTTAGCTGAGCCTTTACCGATTACCTCCACTGATCAGAGCATTCTGCACGGTCGTCTGTGAGTGACGTCACCTCCCAACACAAACACGCCCCCTAGTATAGCCCCGCCCCCTCACATTGATTGGCAGCTTTCCATGCAGACATCGGAAATTCAAATGCAAAAGGAATTGCGATTCCATTTGAGTTTTGGCAGGTTACACGCGCGACGCAGCGAGAGTGAAAAAGCAGACGTGGTAATTAATATTGCTATTTAAATATGACAGGCTCGTAACTCCTGAGACATGGGAAATACAGTTGCAAATGGACTTTGCTTTTTCATTTGAAATTTGGCAGTCGAAGCTAACCGCTGTTTTCAGAAAGCAAGCGCGTTTATTCTCAGTGGAGAGAGAGCGCGTGAGCACAGGGTTGCCAGGTTGACAAAGATAAGTAGCACGTTTAGCAGATATTTCTGTATTGCGCAAGTGTGAAGCTCTGTTTTGGGGATTACGTCTCTTTATATCAGGCAACCCAGTTGTGTTCCTCTGCAGCCAGATTATTAACAGATGCTCTATTCATTCTTTTTTAGAAACCTCGCACTTTTCTACTAAATTTTAAACGTTGTAAAATTAAGCGTGGTCCACTGCTGCACACGTGCCACAGTATCGATACAGGGCCAGCTGTATCGATACTCGTATCATCAAATCTCTGTGACGATACATCGTTGTATCGATATTTTGAACACAGCACTAGTCATTACTGACCAGGACTGTGTTTCCCCATAACTTTGCAAATCACGCTTTCAAGATCATCTCAATTATTGTTGTATTGCTGTTTCCCAAACCAGCATAAAGACCGCAGTCAGGTCTAAAGGAGCTAAATTAAGGTTGATACTTTCACCCAGTGTGAAAATGCTGCCAAACATATAAATCCATGGTGTAAATATAAAAACATGCTAAACATCTTATGTTAGAAACATTTCAACTTCATTTGTGTCAATATTGATGGTTGACTTAACTTGAACTTGGATTCACAGTATGTGTAAATCCATTATCATTTTTTTGAGTTAAAGGGTTAATTTTCAATTTGCAAAAATGAAAATTAGACTGTTTTACCGGAAGTGAAAGAAAAGTGTTTATTACGTTTGAAATATGGATATTTTTCTTACAAAAACGCATGGATTCACTACAGGAGGCCTTTATTCACCCCCTGGAGCCATGTGAGGCATGTTTTGTTATGAATGCGTGCGCTTTATTTGATGACTTGTGGACTGTTCAACTGCAACACCCGCTGACTGCAATGATAGAGCTTGGAATAGTCAGGACAATTTTTAATATAACTCCGACTGGATTTGTCTGAAAGAAGAAAGTCATATACACCTAGGATGCCTTGAGGGTGAGTAAAACACAAGCTAATTTTCATTTTTGGGTGAACTAACACTTTAAATGCATTTCATTATTTCTCCAAGTTTATCTTTCAATGTTCAATATCTTCCATTGGAGAATGAGAGTGAGACATGAGGGACTTGAGGGACTTGAGGGAGTGCAGCTGGTGGGACACATTGGGTTACATGCAATGCTTAAATAATTTTAAAGTGTTGGGTATAGAAGACCCTGAGTGAGCCTTAGAATAAGTAATCAGATGTTGATCCTTCTGATAAATAAGAAATTTAACAGAGAAAGGGAAGATGAAAGTGAGGGCAAACAGAAAAGAGTGACAATGATCTCATAAGATGAGACAGCTAGACAGAGGGGAGACAGTATCCAGTTACCTGCTGCATATCAAACTGTAGCCTCTTTAAAACTTCCCACTCAACAACTGACAGGTAAAAAGGAAGCAGAAAGAGAAAGAGACCCTCGTGGAATCTCTTACCCATGTCTGTGAGATCCCCTCGACCGGCCTGAGTAGTATGAGTAGCCAGAGTAGGTGGACTCTGTATCCATGGCAACGCTGTTTTGCCCCAGCAGATGGCTGAGGGCTTTTTGGATGTTGACAGGATGAAGGGCAGGCAGAAGTTTTTGGGAAGTCTTAACGGAAGGAGCTTACTCAGCAGAAGAACAATGAGAGTTTTCTGTCAGCTCTCAATCCTGGACGTGTGCCTGGGAGCTCTACACCAGCAAAGTTCATTCTGAAAAGACAAAGAGTTCGATTTTTAGTTGTGGGACTAAAAAAAGTCAAAACAGCCTTCCCTTAAGAGCAGCAGAATACAGTTGCAAGTTGCAACTCCTGTTTTCTGTCAAGAGATCTATTTTATTTTCCAGATTCATATCTGTTTCCCTGTTTCTGGTGTCTAAATGTGTGTGTCTGTGATCTGCTCACAACTGGACCACATTAAATACAGGTGTAAACAGGCTCCAAAATGTTTTGTGATCTGATTTATCAAATCAAACTAAATACAGCTACTCTATCCAGATGCTATCCATATACACATACAAACTGTGATTGGATCTCAGTGTAGTGTAAACAAGTGTTTCTTAACTCCAGTCCCGGGGACCCACCTATCAGAATGTTTTAGATGTCTCACTAATTCAACTCATCAACATTCTTAGTGTGTTGAATTTAAAACATTCTGGGAGGCGAGTCCCAAAGACCAGAGTTGTAAATTCCATCTAATCAAATGTATCTGCATTCACAGGGTGACGTAACACAAAATACCACCACTATCATTATGGCTTTACCAAAACATGAAATGCTCATCCCTGCATTTGCAGAAGAAATGCTAGAATTTTATGCAAAGAGAAAGACCGCATCCATTATAATCACTGAAGTTGTCACTTAAGTTCTGTACTCTTGCCAAAACTCCCATTAAAGGGGACCTATTATGCAAAATTCACATTTACATGGTGTTTGATCACAAATTTGTGTCAGCAATGTCAGCTACACTACACTTCCTTTCTATATACTCCCCATAAATTATAAATAGTGTCTCAAAATGAGTTGTTTGCATTGTCACTGTGAGCTCTGCACTATCAGCATATATCCTCCCCTGAGTGAGCTGGGGAGGATCCAACTTCACATGCAGAAGACATAAGTATTGCACTTTATATTTTGTGAATGTTTTCAAATCACCTGCCCAAATTTGTTTGTTGTTGAACAGTGTATGTTTTCTGAAAATATAAGAGAGAAAAATGTAATTTTGTCTCTTATATTTCAGAAAACATACACTGTTTGTAAAAAGACAATCTCAAACTGTACTGTGCATGGCATGAATTATACAGACAATAAGCATTTTTAGGTTAAAAATAAGAATGACGAAGAATAAGTTCTAATCTATGTGAATAAAATAATAGACAATGGTAACTTTAGCTGCATTAGCTGTGAAACTTGCTAACAAACAAATTTGGGCAGGTGATTAGAAAACATATTGCATACCCACTGTCATTACAGTATTTTTTGTGTGTTGCTCATCCATCGTTGCAAAATGGCTGAAAGATTTGGCATAGTTCATTCTCACGGTTGTTACTTTTGCCAGAGTCTCTTTGACTCTGATTCATACATATAGGGCTTAACCGGTATTTACAGTGTCAGTCATATTGGTTCTTGTATCAAAAGCACGAGCTGTAATGGCAAGGCCCTCTTCTGGAAAAGGGGGTGGGGAGCAGCAGCTCATTTGCATTTAAAGGGATACATGAAAACTGCATGCTTTTGTTTCCACACAAGAAAGGCATTTACAGCATGTTATAATAAATAATATGTGGAGTACTTTGAGCTGAAACTTCACAGACACATTCTGGGGACACCTGAGACTTATATTACATCTTATATTACACCCTTTTATCAATATAGCTTTCTAGACTGCACAACATATTTTGTTTACATCCTTGAGAACATCAATCTGCCTACACACCTGTCAATCAACTACTATTAGACTATTACAGAGATTTTAAATAGACATGCCAGATACATCTGAATCCAGTATATCATTGCAGATAACTGGAAAAGTTATTATCAAAACTTAATATCAATAGTGGCATTAAAGTCCTGATAATTTGCTAAGAAAGATACAGTGTAATATATATATATATATGTATGTGTGTGTATATAATTTCACTCTTGTTTAATAGGAAATAAAAAAACATAACAGGACCCAATAGGCAATTTCACCAATACAGTTATGTGGCCTAAAGCAACAAAAATGTATTTCTGTATATGTGTATTTTCTTATTATGGTTGTTAGTCTATTTTTCAAAGAAGATCTTTTCTGAGGTGAAACGGAAAATGGAGAAGAACTCCAGAAATACTTTTTTTGGAATCACATCATTGTAAGACTCATCTTCAGACAGATGTGTTGTTTTTTTCAATACAATCTCTAAAGCTGGGTGGATGAAAAATTAAAGTGCACAATGACATGCTTTGGACGGCGAGTAACAAGCTGAGCCTTGTCTAAACACATAGGTGTGTGAATGAATTTGTGGGTTTGTTGGGTGTAGCTACATGAACTAAAAGAGAAGCGTTTGCTCCCTTGCAGTACTAAGAACCAGCATCTGGTTCATGTTATTTGCATAAAGTAGAGCTCAGTTTAACTATGTTTAATTATCAATGGTTGCTGACTTGCTCCTATTGTAGGAATTCAGTAACTCTTACTTAAAACTAATGTTATGAGGTCACTTCGTTTGTGCTGTCTGTGTGAATGCCCTCCCACACTCGCCTTCTTGTAGCTCAAGGGGTGTTACGGCAGAAGCAATGCCAGGTCACTTTGGATAGAACCATCTGCCACATGCATAAATATAAATGTAAAATCTCAGAGAATCATGCAGCAGCATGCAAACATGCTCTTTGAGAAGTTGCATTTCAATTATTTGACAACTGTGTCCTAATTTTAAAGGGACCACAAAAAAAATATTAAACTCACTTTTTCTTATTTGATGGGAATCAGTCTTTTTCTCTTATCACATTCAATTTTCACACATTTTGTGCTTGTTAGGCAAGACAATATAAGGCAGGCTCCTCTGAGAATATAACTGCTTTCATGATGAGCAGAAAACTGGGAAAATAAATGGTGCACATCCCAGATATCTTTGTTGGGAACATTTCACAATGCTTTCTATTAAGCAGTGTTGCAGGAAGCCTGCAACCATGGATTCTGGTCAAAGAACTAATCTGTCTGGTTATGCTAGGGTTGAGAGTGGGGGATGGAGTGAATTGGAAGCAAAAATAAGCTCTGGGCTTCACAATGAACATTTAGACCAAATAACCAAAACACTTACTAATGGCAGACACAGACCTTCAGAAATACAGCTCACAGAATTAACTGAGCTTTTTTTCTTTATATCTAATATAATCCATACCATGTGCTTAAATGATCTCCTCCCTACTCATACATTATAGTACATCTGTCACTGCTGTCACATTCCCTCATTAGACCCTCTCACAATGGCAAAATTTAATGTGGTTGTTTGTACAGTGTATAACCATATGGTGATAAACATACTCCAACTAACAAAAGGCCTGTCGAAAGACATTATTTACATTTGAAAAGCCAATTAATTGTTATTCAGACTCAAGATTTGTTGAGTCGTGCTGCGGTGTAGATGCAACATAATGCCATTTGTGTACTGAAGAAATATTTTGTGAATTATTATTAACAGTCGTAGAAAGACAAAATTATTAGTTTGATTTGTTCACTTATGTGGATTAATTTACTAATTCTCACCTACATGTCATAGCTAGTAAATGTGTGGGTGTTACACTTGCAATATACTGTATATGCAAAATTTGCAGAAATTAATACAATTTGGTCCCTTCTTGCCTTCAATATCCTTCTTGCTGCAACATTTCCACATTTTCAGAAGGTTATCATATCTGACAATAGAAGTAATGTAATATTGATACTAGCGCATAGGTTTTCTAATGACATCATGATGTTATCTGTAACGTGCAGTCGAGGATCCAAATGCAGTAGAAACTATTTATTTAAAGTGCCCCTATTATGCAATTTTTAAGGTTGCTAATATTGTTTTATGAGTCTGCTAAATCAGGTTTACATGCATGCAAGGTCAAAAATACATTAGTTTTCTCAAAAAATAGTTTTAATTTGACCTAATTTCTAAATTATTCGTAAATGACTCGTGTGAAGCAGTTCAAAGAATCAGTCTCTCTAAACCCCTCCTTTCCGTGAGCCCTCACTGCTGTGATTGGTCAGATGGCACAGTCCTTTGTGATTGGTCCAGAGCCGTAGAGAGACTGGCTCTTGATTGGTCTACTGCGTACAGCGCATGTCGGAAACGAAACACCCATTGCCATGATGGATTGACAGCCCTGGAGACTTGTCAATACATAGAAAAGATGGCATCGATTGTACCTTACCAATTCGAGCCGGAGTCTAATGATGAAACGGTTGAAGTGGCTGATCGACAAGAGACTGATTCGCAAGCACGACTGGAGCAGGAATTTCTCAGTGGTAAGTGTAAAGTTTTAACAAGTTTGTGGTAATTATAAGATGTGATAAAACAAACCTGCTCTCACAGCGTAGGATACAGCTTCTTCTCGACATGAGTTTAATCACACAGAAATTTCACTGTGTTTGTGGGCAGCCAAGTTGGTGACATAGAACGTGGGCGGACATTATGCAAATGTGCTACTTCATGACGTAGAGCCGTAACAGAATAAGATTCTAATTCCTGACGACTCGTTTAGGCGATTGCAAGCCGTCTCTTTTTTTGGATAGACAATAACTTTATTTATCATACACTGTCAGTTTCACAACTTTGCAGATAGTTTATGTTCACATACAGCTACATGACTCACTGCATGAAAGGTAATATTCGAAAAGGCATAATAGGGGCACTAAAACAGACACCAAGTAAATCCAGGCATGGCAAGAAACAGGTCAAAGACTTGGCAAGAAACAGGGCAATAACATGGAGAGGGAGAGAACATAGAAACAATGTAAACAGAAAATACACTAAAACATAAAAGTCCTTGAACACATAACAGAGAACACCAATTCTTGATAATTCTGCCAATGGACAAGAAAACTCTGACAGTGCCGGTCCTAAGCCCGGTTAAAGGAGGATGGTTGGGATAGGGCTAGAAACCCCATCCTGTAAAAATGGAGTTGACAGAAAACAATAATGCACAGTTCAAAGTGGTTTTATTCCCCAAAGTGTAAAAATGTGGCTTTTCATA